TATATATGATGCCTTTCCGAGTGAAGAAGAAGTCATAATTGCGTGCGGCCGTGTGAATATATGGGAAGAAGAAACAGTCAAATAAAAAGGGATGAGTTGGGCCAAAATAAAACAGAAAAACTTTTGGTCCCACTTGCTAATAACGTTCTTTCGGACGCTGCTCGACAACCCCCACGGCAAAGGGCCCGAGCATACTTTCGCACGACACCCACGCATGATAGTAGTCGTACAACGCCGTGCAGTCCTTCCCAGCACAGCGCCGTAGTAACATTTCGCCTCCGGGGTGGAAGTGCTGGAACTTTGTACAGTCATACACCACACCGTGTACCACCAGCCACAAATCATCCGGCTGGTTGTGCTGCCCCACCTCCTCAATCGTCAGCTTCGGGAGCAGCGCCCCTTGGCCGGTGCGGAATGGCTTGGAAACCACGCCTTCCCCGTGCTGTTGCTTCGACTGCGGGTAGTGTTGGCGGTGGTGGTGACTGCCAGCATGATGACCATGATGACTGTGTTGCTGCTGCTGCTGGCTCAACCGCCGATGCTGCTGTTTCTGCAAGATTGTGCTCCAGTCACGCAGCGAGCAGCCAATACGCCGTGGGAGCTTGCAGCGCGGAATCGAGCACACAATCTGCGGTGAAGCGGGGATGCTGAACGTGTCGTTTCCGACAAGCGGTCCAGTCTCCTCAATGCTCGTCAATACGCCGTTATGTGGCAGCTGCACAGGGCCCATAGCGGAGCATGGCACAGACAGCAGGTTGGCGGAGGTGGTGGCAGCAGCAGCGCTGCCACCGGCGGGAATGGGCCTGGCCTCCTCGTGCGCCATACACCACCCGGACTTATCCTGGGGCATGTCGTACTCGAATATGTGTGGCATCGGCTACTTACTGCCTCGCCGCTGCCGCCGTCTCCTTTTTTTCTTGTGTGCTCCCTTTTAAAGTACCTTTCGCTTTCTCACGATCCTGGTGTGTGCGCGTGTCACACCTTTCTGCTGTTTGCCTTACCTTTGCGGTGGGCTTGTATGTTTTCGTTCTCTTTTCCTAAAGTTTGTTTGCTGCTGATCTTCCCTTTCCAAGAGACAGCTGCCGCCTTGTAGCCACTGGCTAGGTCTCACCCTCAGTCTCTGTACGTGTTGCTGTGGTTGCCGCTTCCCCCGAAGAGTCGGGATGAAATATAAACAATAACGATGAGCCGAAGAAAGCGCAACGGTGGCGTCTCCTCCCTCACTCTCAGTCCTCGGTGTGCTCCTCCGTGTATGTTTGTGTGTGTGTATGTGTGTCTGGCGTTAGCACTAAAAAAAAACCAAAAAAAAAAAACCTTGCCAAATATAAATATCTTATGACTCAAATGTCTGTCAGCACGTGTTGGTCTCTTTTTAATCACCTGCCTGCCTGCCTGTTTCGCTTTTGTTGTATTTGCCTCTTCAGTCGGCCGATCACTCTATCTCCCTCTCTATCTTTATATCTATATATATATATATATATATAGATATAGAACGAGATAGATTGATCGATGTATACACAGCGAGGGAGAGAGAGAGAGAGAGACCGATGAACAGGGAGCTATATGCAGAATTACAGCCGCGGGCCCGTATGTCTCCTTTTACCGTGCCTGCTCCTTCCGCCTACGTGTTATGATTCTCCTTCTTACCTTTCCCCTTCCGCTTCTGGGTCTTTATCCCGTTGCGAGGGAGGAGTTGTGTGCACCACAGCTACGGGTGTGTGCGAACGAGAAGACACAAGGAGGAAAAGAGATGCAGTCGGGCCACGCCCCACCAACTCCCACACACACACACAGGCTCAAGCCGCACCAATGAATGAAGCAAACAAGACAAGATACGAGGCGAAGAGGAAGAGCATGAGCGTCCCTGGAGTCCACGCTATCGATCCAATGCGCATGCACACCACACGAGAGATCATTGCCAGCAGCGACACCGGTAACCGCAACAAACTCAAACGAGAATGCCGCCGGCGTGCCACCCTGTCGCTCTTCATTCCACTCCTCCTTTCCTCTTGGATGCTGCCACAAGCACAAAGCACGGTTGCCAGAATCCATTTTCCTTTGCCCCTCCCCTCCGGGAGTGCGGCACCACAGCAGCAGCAGCAGCCATAGCAACTGCAGCAAGAAGAGTCATCCTCAGCAACGAACCTCCCCCCACAAAAGAAAAAAAACACACACACACGCAAACACACAAGAGCAAAAAGCAAACAGAAAGCAATAAAAGCAATTACCCTTTGCACTCGCGCTCTCGATCACTGCTGCGCATTGGCGGGGATTGCCGCGGTCACGCGCTGCTCCACCACGACACCACTGGCGTGGGTGTCGATGAGTGTAAACGCCTGCGGCCCCGAGAACGGCAGCGGACGCCACAACGCCGCGTCGCCACGCACCGCACGTTCAATATCAGCAACAACCGGCGGCATGAACGGACACGCGAACGGCACATGCTGCCACTCGCTTGGCCACCGCTGCAGATTCGGCGTACTGCCACCACCGTTCTTGTTATTGTTATTGCTGTTATTGTTGTTGTACTGCGGCACTCCACGTGCCTGCCAATCGTCCCACGCCACGCGCTCGTTACTCCCTGGCGACGGCCGCTGTGGTGTGGGTGGCAGAAGGGGGGTGCGGCGGTAGCACGACAGGACGACAGCATCGTTCGCACCAGCACCACCGCCAGTGCTGCTTTCCGCATCGCCCACACTTTCCGAGGGAGGGGGATATGTAGGGAACGCCAGCATCCGCTCATTCGTCACGCGGCGCAGCACGTCATCTTCTGCAATGAACGGTCGCGGTGGGACAGAATACTTTCTTCGCGTTGCTGCTGCTGCTACTGTTGGGAGCTGCGGTGCGCTTGGTGGGATGGCGGGGATGTACCGTCTCGCCCGCACCGCCGCCGTGTCATCATTGTCACCGTCGACTACTGAGAACAACTTGAGCGGCTTCATCACTGGGGGCCGCGGAAACACGAACTGCGTCACGGGCGTCAGCTCGAGCGGCACACTCAGCCCAACAACTGAGAGCATCATGCTCCACCACAGCGTGAAGGCGTCCACCTCTGTGCTGGTCGACGCCGGCAACTGCCGCAGCACCTCCACGTCGGGCGTCGCGTCCAGCGGTTGCGAATCCTGCGTGAGTGTTGTTGTCCCTGCCCCCATTGGTGTCGCTGTTTCTGCTGTGGATTGTAATGAGTTGTTGCTCGCCCCTTGCACCAGCGGCTTGCCTGCACCGTCCATGACCACGACGCTGCCGTCCGCGCGACGCAATAGTCCGCGTGCGACCCACTTCCCCTGCGACCAGCAGCCGGCGTACACCTCACCGCTGCTGAAGCGCCGAATGCCGAGCATGCGCCGCTGTTCCAGGCGCTGGTAGCAGCGGTCGCACACGCGCCGGTGGCCGTCCACCTTGAAGTGCTGCGGCATCACCGCGCGGTGCTGCGAGCAGCTATCGCACACCACCTCGCCGCACAACCGACAGTGGTGCCTGCGGAGGAAGAGTGAGAAAGCGGTGCCACACTGCGCACAGCTCTGGCTGTGCACGTCGCTCACCATCACCGGCGGCGCGAAGCAGTCATCGCGCTCGTTGCCGCTGTGGTACGTCGTCTCGTACACCGCCTCCGCAAGGCCGTCGTACACGCGCACGAACCCTGACAGCAAGTCATTGTGCCACTCCCCTTCCACCACACACTCGCCGAAGCGCTCCGTCCCTTTGCCATGCTTCTTGCCGCCGCGGAATGTGCCGTAGAAGACGCTCGCACTTAGCAGCAACTTTCCCTCGCCCTCAACTTGCCCAAAGGCAAACTCACCGCTATACACCGCGCCGCTACCGCTCTGCAGAATGCCGGTACCGTGCCGCTCGCCGTGCTGCCACTCGCCGTTGTAGCGGCTTCCATCTGCCTCGTACGACTGTCCCCTGCCATGACGCCGGTACTCACCGTCGACCTCACCGTGGTAGTGCACTGACAACAGCTTGCCGCGTTCCCACACGCCCTCGTAGACGGAGCCGTCATCGGCGCAATACGTCCCCGCGCCGTGCCACGCGTCATTGTTGAAGTAGCCAACATACTTCTCGCCATTCGGTATCATCTGCACACCCCTGCCGTGGCGGTGACCCTCGTGGAAGGCTCCAAGGTAGTAGCCCTTCTTGCACCACCACAGCGAGCCGTAGATGTGTGGGACACCATTGCACGTGTAGCCCTCGTACACAATGTCCATCGACTCAGGGATTTCGGTGCTCGGCTCCGGTGCCTCCCTCTCCGATGATTCCATCAGTGACGTCTCCGCGGCTGTGCTTGTGGTCATCGCTGTCTCAGCGGCTTCTAGGGTGTCTTCACTTTTCTCCGACAACGAAGTAGAGCTTCGAGCCGGTATCCAAATTACATTAAACTCCACACCAAGCAGTGCGGTACGCGCGCAGTCCACACATGCCGGCACATGCACCGCAACAACAGCATTCTCAGCAACAACGCCAGCGTCACCCACCATCGAGTCATCCATTCGCAAGCGTAGCAGCGCCTCGATCTGTGGGTGGCCGCGCACATCGATGGGGTTGAGACACGAGCTGCAACTTCTCTGACCACAGAGCGCACACGAAGTTGCCTTGCGAAAAAATGTAAAAGGTTTGTCACAAAAAGTGCAAGACTTTTGTCCGCCCACACTACCGACACTTCCACTATTGCTGCGGTCCGCACCGTATATTTTATTGTGGAAGGGCGCATCAGGACGGTGTGGGAGCATCAGACGCGGGTAGTTGTGCAGCCACTCTGTGCGTACACACACACCAGACTTGAAGACAACAACACCACTTCGTTCCTGCAAGCCTAAAGCGATGGACATGGGCGGCTTGCAAAGCGCTACACCACCACTGCCACCCGTGCCGCCACCTCCACCTCCACTACTACTACTACTAACAACACCGTCGTTACCGCCACTCGAGAATGGCGCACCCACCACACCACTACTACCATCCCGCGCTAGCAATGACTGGTACAAAGTGTAAGACATCGGCGCGAGGTCCCATTCACCCTTCAATACGTAATGTTCACGGTAACCAACAATACGTCTCGTATCCTTGTCAGCTGGTGATGCCCTACGGCGGAAAAGGCTGACCAAGAGACCCATCATTCCCCACGAACTGCTGTTTTTATCATTGCTGCTATTATCATCATCATCATCGGCTGTATTGGTAATGGCAGCGGTGGAAGCAGCATCGGCTGCCTCTTCCTTGGGGGCGTAAATCGGCCTCTTGCGATCTGTCGCGTGAAACGTACCACTGCCGACAGGCGCATCGAGTTGCCAGCTCCCACAAAAGTAGGAACCGTCAGTGAGCCAGATGCATCCATTGGGCCCATTGCGAAGGCCCTTCTGAAACCCACCCATGTACACATCGCCCGATGGGAATTCCCACGAGCCCGTCTCGCACTCCAACACATCTTGCACCCAGCTCCCCATCAACACATGTCCTGCAAGCCGAAGGACGCCAGCACCGTGACGTGCGCCGTGACGGAAGAGACCAAAGTGCTCAAATAGCGGCTTCGTGTTGGTAAGCGCGGTGGCCCCATCGAGGCTGCTTCCTGTTGCTGTAGCATTCGTAGCGTTACTGTTACTGTTGCTATTGTTGGTGCCAGTGTTGCCTCCCCCAGAGACGGCTGCTGGTGGCTCACGTAGGAGAAGGTGACCAATGCCGTTGAAGGAAATGCCGTCCCATTCACCATCGTACCCCTCCACAAAGACATCACCACGCCACAAACCCGCCTGAATAGATCCATTTGCTGCTTGCAAAACACCCTGTCCCTCGCGTAGGTCGTTGACAAAGTTGCCGCTAAACTCGGTACCATCAGCATAGCGCACATTTCCAGCCCCATGCCGCTTATTCTTCACAAACCGCCCAAAGAAAAAATCGCCATTGCGATACCACAGTAGTCCACGGTTGTGCATCGTCTCACCGAGCCACTCACCTTGGTAGCAGGCCTTGTCACTGGGGGCCGTGTCGTGCCAAAACAACGTGCCGTGCCGCCGCTCGCCACGGTCAAACTCCCCAACAAATGTCGACACGCCCGGGTGCTGCACAACGCCCCGTCCTTGAATGAGGCCGTTCACAAAGCAACCCTCCACTGTTGCACCTTTTTTGCGCAGTGTATACTTCCCTTCACCATTGCGGAGGCCATGCTTCCACATTCCTTCGTACACGTCGCCGTTCTTGTAGCGCATCGTGCCCTGCCCGTGAATTCGATTGTTTGTAAAGGTACCGTAGTACTCGTCGCCGTTGGGAAACATCATGACTCCCTCACCATGCTGCTTATCATGCACCATCATGCCTTTAAACTCACCACCGTCAACATAATTAATTTTGCCATAGCCGTGTCGCTCGTCCTTGCTCCATTGGCCTTCATAAACCTCACCGTCATCTGTGACAAGCCGACCCTGGCCGTGGCGGCGGTTGGACGCCCAATCGCCATTGTACACGTCACCGTTGGCGTACCGCATCATGCCACGCCCATGCCGGTGATGGGTGTGGTGGAATTCTCCAGTGTACTCGAGTGGTGTGTGTGTCCGCTCAAACGCCGACAAGGCAGAGATGCCGCGCATCACGAGGTCGGTCACACGGCGACTGTACATAATCTGCCCATGCCCGTGCATCTTCCCTTCAAACCAGCCGCCCTGGTATGTATAGGCCGACGTTAAAAGGACACCCTCGCCGTGAAAGAGCCCATGCTTCCACATTCCACCGTATCTGTCACCGCCACCGTAGAGGAGAGAGGTGGATTTGAACAGCATCACACCGAGGCCATGCGGCTGATCCAACAGCATTTCACCGTAGTACTCGCTCCCGTCCGGCAACAAGAGTGCTGCTTGACCACGCTCGCGTGGACTAAAGGCAGTGACCTGTTGCGGCGTCACCGGCACACAGAGCACGGCTGCAGCATCGTAGAACACGAGAGGCGCGGGCGGTGGTGTCGTCGACTGCTGCTGCTGCGACTCACCAACCACTGGTGATTGCCCACTCATGAGAAGCGTCACACTACGCCAACGAAGACAGACAGAAACACACACACACACACACACAGAAGTATGAATCCGCCCGAAACTATCAATGATAATAATAATAATAACTACTCTGTCCACAGGCCAATCTACCCTAGACAAGTCTCACCACAACGTACAAAGCCAACAAACCAAAGAGTTTCAAGGAAGCAAAAATCGCACAGCCGCAAGAATCAGGTGTGTGCAAGTGGAGGAAGAAACAAAAAAAAAAAAAACATCATTGTGACAAGCGGCACTCGGCCATACCACTCACGGATAGACACCACACTGTGCGCCGCTCATCTTAGCAAAGAGCATAAGGCATACGAAGGCCTACGCTTTGTATAACCCCATTCTTCACAACCTGGAAAGATGAACAAGGGTCGTCTTCAGGAACACTCGCTCATCATTCCTTTACATAGATCACCTAATTTCTTCATAGAACAAGAGCTGCACTGCACCTGCGAATGTCTGCATTCGTGCTATGAGCTGATAAAGACAAAAAAAAAAAACATGATTGAAACGCGTTATTTCGGCCCCATGTCCCGCATCCTCTTGCTCACACTTACCCGTGGCCTACAAGAGATGAAGGAATCGGAGGGGCAGCCTACCAGGGCCGGTCAAGTTGTAAAAAGCTGTGATGTACTCGGTGTAAAGTATCACAGATCCCATGGCACTTATCCCAACAATACTCACCGCCCCCAAGCCCACCGTTGCGGTGAGAGACGTGCGCGTGAAGTGCTGCATACGCGGCGGCGCATCGCCGACGAGACGGCTCATGTCATACCTCCTCCGCCGCGTATCCGAGACCAACGTCTCGTAGGCCTCATTGATCGCCGTCATCTTCTCCCACGCCTCCTTCTGTGCGTCGGGGTCGTGCGGGGCGCGGTCGGGGTGATTCTGCAGCGCAGCCTTGCGGTACGCCCGTTTGATCTCCGCACTGCTCGCGCTCGGGTGCGTTCCCAGCACTGTGTAGTAATCAACGGTGGGCGGCGCCCCGGCCTGTCCGGCGGCACCGAAGTAGCTGTTCCAGCCCTGCGACTCCTCCGCCTCCGCCTCCGCCTCCGCCTCCGCCTCCTGCTCACGCAGATCCTCACGCTCGTCCTCAACGGTGGCGGGGTGCAGTAACTCCAGCCGCTCGCGGAGCCACACCGCAACGGCGCTGCCAGAGCGGTGAATGAACGGCGTCGCCGCGAGGAGGGCAAGTCGCTCACACCAAAAAAGCGTGCTGCTCGTCGGGTCGCGCGAGATATACCGTCCAACCCATGCCCCTGCCACACGCGCAGTGTAGACGAGCGGTATCTGCGCAACGCTCTCCGAGACGTTGCAGAGGTACGGCTTCAGGAGGCGCCAGCGTGACGTGCGCTTCCCGCGGTCGCGGAAGAACGCCACCGCCAGCATGGACTGGGTGACAAGCGCATGCGCGAGCTCCCAAACCATCCCGTTGACCATCACCGCGTACGGCACACTATTCTCGTAGCACTCTCTGTAGAGGCGAGCGGTTGCCGTGCAATCCTTCTTCACCGACTCAAGCGGCACCACACCGGGCACCGACTCCGACGTGAAATGCCGCAGTACTCTTGGGAAGAGGAATCCACCAACCCTGTGGACAAGGCGCGTCAGCCAAAAACGGTTGAAGTGGTACCGTTGCACCTGCGGAAACAGTAGGTGAAGCATCACTGCGTCCTGAAACACCCCCACGCGGCTCTTCAGTAGCGCTGCCAGTACGACACACTCCCCCACACGGCACACCAGCTGCTGCAATAGCGCACTAAGGGAGGTGAACGAATGTATGAGGTGGTGGCTGGAGATGTACTCCAAGGTGATATTCACCAGCGTCTGCAGCAAATCATGGCTGAAGGCGGAGCTGAAGAGATAGTCCAGGAAGAACACACCCACGAGATGCAGGCCATGCATGCGCGACAGCGCACCACTTATTTGAGACATGACGCCCACAGACGTGCGTTCGCTTTTTTTTTTTTTTTT